CTCAAAAAATCGCCAGACCAGACCAAGTCTTGGCGGTCTAGACCAGACCAAGACCAAGTCAGACCAGACCATTCCGATCACTGTCTAGTTCACCGTTGTAGACTAGTTGGGAGCATCCAATGTTTGTCTTTTGAGAAAAGGTTTCTTCGTGGGTGGAGCTGTACGCTACTACACCTACGCCGATCCCTATTCCCTTGTCGTGTTGTGAGGCATCTGAGTAGATTGCGGTGCCGGTTCTCGTAGAAGAGCTTCGCAAAGCCTATATCCGAGCGATGGAGCAGGCCCGATTCTTGTTGCGCGTCGAAAGACAGGGCCGGCCATCCACCTACAATCACTACTTCAATTCAGAAGTCCAGGGAAAGAGGCAAAATCGCCTCAAAAAGTTGACGAAGGCAGAAAGCTACACCACTAGCAAAGGCACTGCACTTATCACTGTCGCAAGTGTCCAAGATATGGTGGTGAACAAGGAAAATGCACAACAGATACGAGAAGATATACTTGATGTCCTCACCAGCTACTATAATGTATCTAGGAAGCGTTTTGTCGATAACTGTCGGCCATAGGGCTTATCCCTTGGCTCCTCCTTAGGCAACCAGGCAGCCCCCCTTTACCCGCTAGTACCTTTACGGCCTAGCTCCTTCACTACCTCTTCCCACTGCGTATATAGACCTCTTTCCGATAGCTCTAATACGAAATGATTCTCCCCAACCTTGACGCTTGACAATAACATCTGCAACCAGGTCATTGGTCACTTCCTGTTGGAGGGAGACGAGAGCCCACTGAAAATCTTCAGTTCGGAGTTCGTGATGGGTCTGAACAGTGACCAGCTTGAGTTGATTGCGGGAGAAGACGCGGAGACGAAGGGCCGGCGATCGATGTTAGAGTCAGACATCAAGAATCTGGAGGCTGCGATGAAAGTTCTGCGGATCTAAGCCAACGCAAACAAGCATGTTATGATCGTATCAATAGGGACAAAAAGTAGATACACAGCTGATAGCAGAATCGTGTCAAATTCCGATTATATCATAGATTATTCTGATTATATGGCCCCAAAAAATGATTATAGCGATGATCTCTAAGACTGGTCATAAAAATATCCAGACTCGGGTGTCAAGTAACGTCTTGAATCTCCATCCTCTAACGTCTAGAGTCACAATGCTTCTAGTAAGCTTATTAGCCGTAGCATCGGGAGTCGTGATTCTCGTACTTTTTGTTGTAAAATGTATCTTATGGAGACTGCCAGGATCTTTAAAAGAGGCGTCAGAGACTTGTCACCCATTTTGAAGCGCATATTACTACAGCATATACGGAATGGGCGGCTTCACAGGGCACTCTGCAAGCAGCGATTCCGAGGAAGTCACACCTCAAGTCAAGGCGAAGGGAAAGGGGGGAAGAGGGGAAGGGTCGACTCCCCATGCTGCACATGCGTACTCTGGCCTGCAATGGCCGAGACGATAGGATCCGGCATCGACGTGATTGTTGTTAGGGTTGTTTTGCCTAAAGAGTAGTTGACGAACGCGGGGATTGGTATTAACGCGCGTCCATATGGTTTGACGCGACATTAGAACTGGAAAACAATTTACTGCAAGTCTCGCATGGCCAGTGCCTTGCATCATCCATGTGGGTATTGCGGTCCAACTTCTTGCGGAATGACCGCCAACAAGTCTCACAATAAAACATGTTGAAGCCAGGAGTTAGATAGGGTGTAGTGGCGAGCTAAGTTCACGATATATGCTTATAGGCAAATGGGTGCTAAGGTTAGTAGTACGTGCCCTATCATTTGCGATTTACGCTTATGTTAGGAAAACGTAGCAGGCTCTATAAAACCTATTAAACACTAAGAGGAAAGCATCCACCTCTATAACACTAAGCAACAAGGGCTAGAAACTCTCTGCTGTTGACGAAATGGTTGGCGCAGCTCCAAGCGTGCACCAGCACCTCCACCTTGAACACATCATATGGCTGTAGCGTTCTGTTATTGTGTTGTGTTGTTCGTGCTGTGCTCTCAGCGAGGCAGCAGCAGGATCTATTTACATAACGTATCTGTGATGCAGCTAAGGTAAGAGGTGCTTAACAAAGTGAGGAAGCAGCACCAGACCAACACGTGATCTGCTTTTCCTCATAACGAGCACATATACTCTTGCTTAACCGAAGGCTGGGGTCTCATGCACGACAGCATCACTTGCAATATCCTGCGCAACATTAATTGACACAATTTCGAAAGCCTCCCGTAATGTACTTACGCGGACAACAACAGATCTAGCCCTGATAATTGCATTGTTGCCTTATTTTTACACCAGCTTCGACGATGACACCATCACCAATGTAGACATTCTAACTGATTATGGTTTCCCTAGCAGTTTCGGTGCTATTGCTGTCTTTCTGGCTCTTTGTGTCCGTCGGCGTCTTCAGCGTTGAGATAGTGACATGGGTGCCAGTTTGTTCCAATGCTGATTCTAGCAGAGTCGAGAAGCTGACAGTGGGGTCTAATGACGACATTGTCGCCGATGGATATGTTGTAGCCGTAGTCACAATGAAATGGCGTTGTGACATTCACGTTATCACTAGACTCCGCAACAATCAATTCAATCCGGTCACTCTCCTAGACCCACTTACCTATCTAGGTAGGGCTTAAACTCCTATAGGTAACTACTAGGCTTAAAGCGGTAATCAATCAATCCAATCTGAACCTTCTAGGACCCACTTAATTGATTGTTGCGGACTGTGGTTATCACCTAGATAATTATTGACACGATGACCGGGCTAACGGTCCATAGGACGTGGATAGATCCACTCTGCTGCCAGGATCCGCCTGAAGATGCGCTCTCAGTCTCCCCACGTAACGACAACGGATGGATTAGCGGTGCTGTTGAAATTGTAGATGGCTCCTGTGCACTGCGCCCGTTCAGCCACCAGCTGCTCGTCGTATTGGAAGAACGATTCACCGTCCAACATCTTTTCCTTTTCAGTTTTGAGGGCTCTTGCTGGTATACAGCGGGCCTGTTGCGGCGCAGGCCCTGCGGATGTTAGGGGCGCAGTTTTAGGTTGACAAAGCTGTTGTGACGTCTGATAACGATCGTTAGCCACAGTACGTGGGTAACTAGTGGGCAGAGAACATCCCTGCGGCTGAGCTAAGTATCGGTCGTGCCAATGTGCTCTGTCATAGTTGGTTACGGATGGCCGGAAATCTTGCGCAGGAAAAGGTGCTGCGTGTTTTAAGTGAGAAACTCTTTGCGGCTCGTCCCCGCTGTTGCACAAAGTGTTCGGGGCAGACGCTTCACGCTCTTTTTTCCCATCGGGTTTGGACTGGACCCGAGCGCCTTCAACCCTCTGGCTGTTGCTGCGCGTAGGTTCGCGACACGATGTATACAGTTTGTTACATCCTGAGAATCTAGGGTAGGCCGCAACTAGACCATGAACCAGCCGCATCTGAGCCTGTAGTGGAGGTTGATGTTTCGTCGTGCCATTCTTTAGCAAAAGAGTCTTCTCAGCATAGCCGTCGCATATGAAACCGCCACGTTTGCAGTGATTACCTAGTTCTTGTGTTAGTCAATTTGTCTTTCCTGTTTAGTACCATAAGAGACGTCGGCATACATTCAGGCTTTGCTTCATCGCACTTCTTCTTCCGCTTTCGACATGTCATGCAACCAGTTTTAGTTCGATGCATGAATTGCCTTGTTCTCTTTTTTGAAGGGACAGGCAGCATACCCGCCCGGCTAGGATCTCTCGAGCTTTCTCGCACATGACCGTGTCAACTAGAATGTTCTACTATCGTCACAGCTACGTAACACACTGCTGATCTGGAATGCTCCAGATACTCTACTTCATGTATATAGTCGCTCTCTGCAACTCTCTCAATAGAACAACCTTCTCTCTCATCTCTCCTCCGATCCAACAGACCGTTTAGCTCATCCGTAAGTACAGGCAGAGCCATCACGGATGGCATGAGACCACCGCCTACTTTCCCAGCACGTGTGTTATTTATGATTTGACAGCCATCATGCCGTTGAGGATCGTTATCCCATCGTTGCTTGTGCTCTTTGGAGCGATCTTTAGGAGACAGTGGGTGGTGCTGAGAAACATTCATATCCTGGAGTGCAGGTTAGATTCGCAAGTGGGGGTTGCCATGGGTGAGCGTTTGAAGGGCAGAGCAGAACCACTGCCGCAGCAATCGTGCTATGATGACCGCAGCACAGCAATGCACTAAATGAGGGACGCACAACACAAGGTTAGGCGCAGCTGCAAGGGGATGCGCTACAGCAACAAAACTGGCGGACCCGGTTGATATGCACACAGACCCCAGGCAAATCCTTGCCGCCGGCTGTTCGTACCCGCCGCGTCTGCTGTGCCACTCAGGCTTGTGGAGAGGAAAAATTGACGTACCAGTATCATGTGCTTTGTGCGGAAATGCTAACGCGGCCTCTCTATTTCTCCCTGTCGATTCCCTAGGACTACTCACACGCGCGGACCCTTTATAAAACCATGACACAATTCAGAGACATCTGTAATTAGACCTCAAGAAGATGCGTCTGAGCTTTTGTATTTCATGCTGAGAGACGCGAGCGTTGCAAAGCTGTACGAGACGTGGCGCGAGTGAGGTTGCCGCTCTAGGGCTTGTAACGGGCTGAGCCTCGAGTCACATGACTAGGCTGCTAGCCTAGTCGCTTCCCCGGCAACGTGAGGGCCGTGCGCCAACCCAAACAAAGCAGGCTCGCCGCTTGCGTCTTACCTTCTTTCTTCATCTTGACTGTAAATAGCATCTGGACTAGGTAGCTGGAATACAGTTCCTACGGACCGTTCACAGGGCTCTCCTCCGGTTGCAGCGCGTTTGGCTTCGGGGATGGCGTGTAAGATCTTGAATACAGGTCCGGCCATCATCTAAAAGAGCAACCCCTTGTTCACGCCGAGCTTGCTGCTGGGGTGCCGGCGTGTCGCGATGGCGTATCGCGACGGCGGAGTACACGGTGATCACAGATGGCAACGTGCAAAGAACCCAATAATAGTGTAGGCACATTGATCTTTAATGCGACAATGTACTACAACTCCGGCAACGACGGCACCTCCGGAGATTGTGTACCCTGATTCTGTTCACACTCTAAGAGCTTCCTCTTGCGCTGTATAAGTTTCCTGCGCGATGCGACCAGGCGCCTCTTTCTCGCCAGAACCCGTCGCTGGTCATCAATAATCGCCTGCTCATCCTCGATCAATGCCTCTTCCTTGTTGTACACCGCTTCTTCCTCTGCCAACAACTTCCATGTGTCTTTCAGGGACTGCCGGTACTGGGCAGGACGATACCTCCTCTGGAAATGCGCCGTGGAATAAGCAATGTCCAGTTCTGCAGCATCCTTAAGCTCTTCTATTGTTTCCTTGAACTCATCTATCTTGCCCTTGATTGTGACCATAACGTCCTCGAGGACGCGATGGAAATCCGCAAGCTGGTCCTCCTTGACAATAAGGATGTTCGTCTCATGATCCTCCAGAGTATCAGCGAGCTCAAAGCCTGCTTGCTTGCATTCTTGTTCCACGTGGTCAGCCATCTCCTCAAAAAAGCGTGCCAACCGGTCCTCTGTTGCCACGTTCAGAGTGTCTTTGAAGCCTTTCAACCAGCCCTGCGTTGCCTCATTCGCGGCATCTTTGACAAGGTCTTTGATGTTCTGTATGGTAGGTGGGTTGTTGATAGGGCGAGAATATCGGGGAGGCGGCGACGTTTTCGGGGCGGATAGATTGTCGGTGGCGTAGGGAGATCGGGGGGTTGGCGATGTATTCAGGGCAGATGGATAATCATCAGGGTGAGGAGAGCAGGAACTCGGTGACGATGCTGTAGTAGCTTTCTCGGTCGGTGACCCAGTGATGTCGAAGAACGAATGGACACGCTTCTGATACGGTGCCCCAGACACTGGACTAGAGGTATTTGCTGTAGCCTTGAGGTCAGTGACCAGCCGGGGAAACTGTCAAGAATATGAAGTGCTCACGCGATCTTGGACGTTTGTTTGTGTAAGGTGGTGGAGCAGCGGCCGGGGGGTCAACAGGACTGAAGACCGTCCACTTCTCTTTCCTGTGTTGTTCCTCGAATACTGGCGACTTAGGAAGCGTGGAAAAGGCTTTTCGTTGTTCGTCGTCGAAGATATCTTTGAGCATGGGCCGATTGTTAACATGAACCCAGGTGTAGTCAAAAAGGACATGGACCATTGTCGATTGTGCGAGTTGACTGAGGTGAGTGAATGCAGCATCTGAATCATGTTTGGGTGCTATCCTGCCGGTAGAGGGAGGGCACCAGATAGGACACGGCTTCCGAATCTTCAGACGCAAGATCTTCAGGTCGGCACTTGCTCCCGGCCGAGTTATTCTTTGCAGATGACCCAGTGACGGAAGCGTGTACTCAGAATCCTCCAGATTGACAAGATCGATAAGATCAGTGCCAGGCATCAGATCGTCAGCACCGTAGTCGATGGTGAAGGTCTGCTCGACGTCGTCGAAGCCACGGACGTGCAGGGAGCATTCTAGAGAGATGGTGGCCTGCATGTTGTTTCGTTTCATCGTGAGAGAGTACACGGTTGGTGTCGTGCCATTGACGTACACGAGTACATCGACGCCTTTTCTGTTCACGAGGTAATGGAGAACCATGGTTGATCAAATTGAAACTTACAAAAATGACGTTATTCCAGAAGGTATAACAAGCGCATCAATGTCGCTTCTGCATGACAGCCCTGTCGCCTCGTCAAGCGCTCGCTCCCGTCGTGTCACGCCATTTGTGCCACCCTGAATACCACCCCCCCAACGTAGAGTCGTCAACGCCGTGGAATACAAGACCGACAGCGCTGCCCGACAAGAGTCAAGGGCCTTGTGAGATTCGCAAGGATGGTGGACTGAGAGTGAGCCCCAGCCAGCGGGAGACAACTAAGCAAGCGAGCGGTCAACGAGGCGACAAGGGCGGAGCAGCTTTGCCAACCATGTGGACGGGCGAGCGTATCGTATGCAGGTGGTGAGTTGAGGCCAGAGGCGGGTTGATGACCAGAGACGCGGGCGATGGATGCGCAATGAAACGGAGGTGGAGGGCGCGCGCGCGTTTCGAAGTCGGCGTTGCGTTATTCCGAGCCGGGCAGGGCTTGGCAGGCTTGGAACAACATGACGACGACCTCCGGCCGCTCACCATATGGTACATTCCCCACCGATGATTTAGACCGCGATCCCGAAATTCTCGAGAACGAGCGCACCGTAACCACCGCACGCGCATCCTTGCACGCCAGAAGCACTTGAGCACGTCGTCCACCAGCGGCCTTGCCCACGCGCCGTAGACGTCACCCGGCACTCACTTTCACTAGGGGGCGTGACGTTTTGCCTGCAAGCCGGCCAGTGCGACGTATTTCTCGCACGTTCTAGCTCTACTCCTTCCAGTTGCTGTCACTTCTTTCGCCCGCGCAGCCATACCCGGTCATACTTAAGCGCGCTTGAAGCAGGTCTCCTTCTCGAATTCTCGAAAACAATCTTCACTAAGGTCATGGATTTTGTTGCTCCTGTCACAATTCTGTAGAAACCAGAGAGCACGGATGCACGGAACTCACATCCTTGGCTGCTGGACGAGCAAGCTGTAATGAGGATAGAGGTATTGCCAGCGTTGATAGAACGACGTTGTGGATTGTCGCTCGTCCTCCTCCAGCCCTTCCATGCCTCTGTGTTGATGATGTGCGTGTTGGATCCTGGATCGACAATATATCGATTGTGTAGTTCAGTCTGAGTGGTGTCATCAACGGTCATTGTCGTGAGGGGCTCCTGCAGGCTCGGTGTGAGCGTCAATCGCAATAACGACGTCATCATTGTGGCAGACGCGGTTGTGACTGTCATGACTGGTGTGGCCGTCGTGGCTGTCGTAGCCGTCGTGGGAATACTTGAGCAATGGGTCAGTAGATAACACGAACGTGTCAGTGTTGGCAGGTGGCTCGCCGTCATCGACTCGCAATGATCCAGTGCTCTCAGGTTGGTGGGCCAACCATCTCGCAAGAGCTGCCTTGATGCGCGCGTTGATCTTGGAATCCTTCCGCGCTTCCTCCACCTTGCGTACAGCCTCAGCTGCAGGCTGTAAGGTCTTCGGACGTGCCGGGTGGCGTGGGCCCAGGATAAAGCAGTCAGTGTACCAATGCTGCTTGCCACAGACGCAGGTAGGTGTTGGTCGTGCGCCATCACGGTGAGCGCGACCAGTTGATGGCGTCTCGGTCGGCTTCGTGATTCCGAGCTCAACAGCAGAGACTGCCAAGCCTGTGGAGTGAGGCTTTGTGCGGCATAGGTATGTGGTTATCCCGGCGACGTACGTCTCAAGAGATGAGATCTCTGCAGTAGTGCCTCGTGCTTCATATCTGAAGAACTCTCCCAGGCAGGATGTAGCGTACTCTTGATCCAGAGCCTTGCAAGCAATCAAAAAATCCTCCTGCGGTCGGTTGCCGTCAGTCTCCAGCAGCTTGATTGATTTGCCTTAGGCGGTGATGTATACCCAGTCAGTGAGCCATTGCTCAACTTTCTTCGCGGCTCGTGGAGCAGTCTTGAGAGCGTTGTACTTGTCGGCAAGCTCGCGGCGGCGAGTCGCGTCGGTTGGGCAAAGGACCTTCTTAAGAGCGATTAGTCGGTCGTAGGGTGTCTCTTGATCCTTGATCAGGTGTATGTGGCGTACAGCAATCGTCTTGCTGATGTCCGTGTTCAGGTCGGCTAGTGCCTTCTGCTGTGAGCGGTACTCAGAGCGGCGGCGCTCCCATCGATCGCATTCCCATCGGTACGACTCTCGGTCGTCTGCTGTCAGGTTAGAGAGTCTGACAGCTCCAGCCTGGTAGTGAGTGAGTTGAGGCCCAGTAGCCTCCGTCAGCTCAGGAAGAAGCTCCCTAGCTACGTCAGGATTGATGTATTGCCAGAGACCATGGCGGTTGGCAACGTCTCGGCGAATGAACAGCCAGGTAAACCAGTCGTCAGGCGTGTTCAGTATAGACTCCGCAACAATCAATTCAATCCGGTCACTCTCCTAGACCCACTTACCTATCTAGGTAGGGCTTAAACTGCTATAGGTAACTACTAGGCTTAAAGCGGTAATCAATCAATCCAATCTGAACCTTCTAGGACCCACTTAATTGATTGTTGCGGACTGTGGTTCAGTATGACTGTGACACGCGTCACAGCAGGATCAGGCTCAGTAGCAATTGTGGATGCGTCGTGGGTGAACGCGATAACAGTGCGTCGTGAAGAACGCGGTAACAGGTGCGTTGTAGAGAACGCGGTAAAGCAACATGCGACTCGTGAGATAGTTACGTTACAGCAGCAGGTGAGAACAATGCTGAGGTGCAGCAGGGCTCATAACTATTGCGATAAGTGCAAGCAGTGCAGGAAGGATTGAAGGATTGAACTGAGGTTGCATAGTGAGTAGCTACGAACAACAGATATATATGGGTGGCTGTAAACAGCGCTAGTGCAGGCTGGGTAGTTGCATCTCCCCGAAGGGGAGGTGCGGGTTACCCATGAGGCAAGAGACACTCAAACCGTGACAGAGCACGATACTTGCATCAACGCCGGCGATCTCCTTTGAGCCGCATCTTGACGTCGTGAACTTCCGGAAGGGGGAAGAGGATTGTGGATGTGGAGCGGAACCCTGTCCACACCCGAGAAACCCGCCAACATGGGCTAAACAGCAGGGCAGTTTTGCTATCGCGAGAACCAGCTCCGGAATAGGAGAGGCACTACAGACCTCTCTTCTGGGCCGCCTAATTAGTTCAGCACGTGTTGGATTTTATGGACAAACAGCCGATGGGCTTGGTGGGCCTTGAGAGCTTCCGGTATAATTTCTAATGATGGCTCACGGAACTATTTTATTAGGGGAAAAAAGGTTCCTTAGAAAGAAAGACGTTAGGGGCGCTGTGGCAGAGACTGTAGAACCGCTGGCTACGGTGTGGCTGGCGGTACGGGTTGTTGCGGAAGGCTAGGGACTATTACTTAATGATCCTCAAGGAACTCTCTATAGTGACGAATTGCTTGAGACCACTACTGGTGCTGCTTCCTCACTTTATTGAGCACCTGTCAGCCAACACAGTTGGGTGTCCGTGTGTTAGCCCGATACTCTTATCAGATCTTCTAGCATCTTCTACTACCTTCACTACCTTACTATCTACATCATATACTTACGTATATAAACACACATCTCTACTCCGTAGAATAATCAACTAGTTCTCTCTTTTCTGTTGTTCGCCCACAGCACCTCTTACCTCAGCTGTATATCGGATACGTCATGTAAATAGACCCTACTGCTGCCTCGTAGCCAAGCCAGACAAGCTTTCTACAGGCTAGGAAGACTAGCGAACATTGAACTCGGCCTATCAACACACGCTATTAGACAACTATACTTAGCATGTGTAACTAGCGTGTCAGACTACG